TTGCCTTTGCTTATTTTAAGGGCTTTTAAAATTTTCAAATGGTTGCTAAAAGTGCAATTTTGAATGGGTATATTGATCAAGATGTTTCGGTTTTAATGCATTTAGTTGCATTGGTTTTTAAAAAAAAATATTGATCAAGATGTATTTGTAGAACAACCACTAGGTCTTGAAAGAATTAATTTTCCTAATCATGTATATAAATTAAAGAGAGTATTATATAGTTTAAAACATGCTCCACATGCTTAATATGATAGGTTAAGTAACTTTTTAATTGAATATAAATTTAAAAAATATAAGATAGATACAACTCTTTTTATCAAAAATATTAGAGATGATTTGATTATTATATAGTTTTATGTTGATGATATAATTTTTGAAAGTATAAATAAAAGTTTGTGCCATGAGTTTTTTTTTATTAATATCAAAAGAATTTGAAATAAGTGTAATAGGAGAACTCATCTTTTTCTTAGGATTTCTAGTAAAACAATTAGAGTCTGGCACATTCGTATGTCAAACCAAGTATATAAATGAATTATTATAATAGTTTGATATGAATATATTCAAATTGAGTAAAATCCTATAATCCCATCAACTAGACTTGATTTAGATGAATTAGGAAAACCAATAAATCAAAAGATTTATAGGAGTATGATGGGTTCACTTTTGTATCTTACTGCTAGTATGCATGATATTATGTTTCTTGTTTGTTTGTGTGCAAGATTTCAAGCCAATCCTAAGAAATCAAACTTAACAGCAATTAAACAAATATTTTGCTATTTGATAGGAACTCCTAAGTTAGCTTAAGGTATTTGAAAATTTTGTTATCATGTAATTTAGTTGCATATTTTGATGCAGATTGTTGGTTATAAAGTTGATCAAAAAAAGTACATTAGGATCATCACTTATTTTTTGGTCTTCTAAAAATTAAAATTATGTCGATTTATCTATTGCTGAAGTAGAGTACTTAGCTATAAGTAGTTGTGTTGCTAAAGTTTTATGGCTAAAACAACAATTAGAAGATTTTGGAATTAAGCTTAAAAATATTTCTATTAAATATGATAACACCAATGCTATTAATTTAACAAAAAAATCCTATACAACATTCATGAACTAAATACATAGAGATTAAACATCATTTTATTATAGATAATGTTAATAAAAGTGATGTGGATATAGATTTTGTAAACATAGATTCTCAAATAGGTGATATTTTTAGAAAACCTTTACCTGAAGAGAGATTTTGCATGTTAAGACGTATGCTTGGGATATTAGACTCTAATATTTAAACTTCTTATATATTTATGTTATTCTTTTTTATGTTGTTAAAGGGGGAGGAGAATTATATATGTTGGTCATAAATTTTTTTACAATCATATTTTTTAGGGGAGAATTATTTTTTTAGCAAATTATGATTCAAAAATATTTCTCAATTATTATATATATTTTTATGATATTTAAAAGTTATGATAAAATGTTAATTTTCACCTTTGTTATAACTATACATAATATAAGTTTGTCATCATAAAAAAGTGAGAGATTGTTGATATTATCTACCTCATGACCTATTCTAGAGATTTTGATGATAACAAATATATACTTTGATAATCTAATTTGTGTGCAAAGTATTTTAGGTGTAATGATTTGATGGATGTGTATGATAATTATTTATATAAAATTTACATTACACAACTCTGGTTCAATCAAAATTTTTAATTAAGTTGAAAGAACTCAAGATGGACCAAGATGAAAAGCTTAAAGATTTTTTTGATTAATGTAGGAGTACGTTAGAGGTCCATTAATATTTACTTGCATGTTTTAGTTTGCTCACAATTTAAATATTTATTAAAATGAATTATATATTATAAATTAAGGATAATAAGCTTAAATTAAAAATCTATAAGATTCCCTTATTAAATAAACTTTATATGCTTCATAGATTACATAAGTATTATCAAATATGGAAAGATAATTAATCAAGAAAATTAATTGTAATAAACTTATATGGTAAAAATTTTTTACGTATTCATTTTGAATTGAGCTTGTTTCAAATAAATTTGCTGGTGAATAATTAATTTTATCAAAATTACATCATATTATTGTATTAATATTTAATATACCTTAAAATACATTGAAATATTTATAGGTTTTTATTTTGCTAAATATAGTATTATTTTGACAAAATTGTGGATTAATTTTTGTTTCAATAAATTCTTTGGATTCTGTAAATAAAAATTGATAGGTTATATGACCCATTTGGTTCTATTTTAAATTTATAACAAATTTATAAATATTATTTAATTTTAATATTATTTGCTAGGTAGCCATTTTTGCCTTATTTTGGATGTATATGAAGACTTTTTAACTTTTTATGTGACTAGCCATTTTATAGTCTTTTGAAACTTATATTTATTTAATTAATATAAATAAATTCTTTATTAAATATAATATTATTAGTTGATTAATTAAGATTAGATTATTAGTTTTATTCAAATTTGACTTACTTACCCTTTCCCTTTAAATGCTCATCTTTCTCTTTATTTGAGGGCTATTCAAAAGAGAAAATCCAGCATTTTTTTTCCATTTTTTTCTTTTCTTTAAATGCTAAATTTTGAGAAGAGAAGCTTTGATTTTCATTCCAAGAGCTCTTTCATTTGCGAGATCAAATTCTTTGTTGGAATGCCTCAACACACTAAATCCTATAATGTCTTTTAGAGCCATTGAGTTGTTTTCTTTCTCTAAATATTTACTTGCTGAACTTTTAGTTTTTCATCATTTATTTTTCTTGAAATTATTTATTAGTTTTTTCTATGCTAAATCTTTTAAATATATAAAGATAACAAAATAAGTATTTTTATTTTCTTTTACGTGGCATAAATTTGCATTTCAAATATAATTCATTTTCTATATATAATTTAAAAAGTTATAGTTTAAATCAACAAGCAAAAAAAAAATTATTTAAAATATTATTCATATATTTATCAAAATATAAATCTATCTAAAAGTGAGCAAAATTTAATGTTACATTTGTAAGAAGTGAGGTGATTTAAATTAAATTATCAGATCACCTTAAATTTTGTTGGTCATTTTAATGTAAGATAATTTGAGTTTGTTTTATTATATTAAAAAAAAATTTCTTGATCTAAGCCATTTGGCTTAGTGAAGTTTAAATTGTAATTAGATTGAATTGTACTCGCTCGTGTAGGAGAGTACTTAGGTTGTAAACAACTTCTTTAGTTTAAAGAAGTGAGGTTTGCAAGGAAAAACTTTGGATTAGTGGATTCTAGCCCGAGAGTTGACTAGTGTAGACGTAGGTTGGATTGGAATTTGGGCTAAACCATGTAAAATTATTATGTATCTTATTTTCATTTCTTGCATTTATTTTTCTTTATTATTTTTATAAAATTGTGTGTTTTTTTTTTTAATTTTAGTAGTAATAGACCTAGTGAGGGGATTGTGACTTTGGGAGATCAAGTCATTAATAAGAGTTCATGTTTTAGATATCTTGGATCTATTGTTCAGAGTGATGTTGAAATAGATGGGGATATTATCAGTAAAATTCAAGTTGGATGGTTGAAGTGGAAGAATGCATCGGGCTTTTTATGTGATAGAAATGCACCCCTCAAACTTAAGGGAAAATTCTATAAGATGGTAGTGAGGCCTGCAATGCTTTATGGTGCAGAATGTTGGCCATTAAAAGAGAAGCATAATACTAAGTTAAGTGTGGCAGAGATGAGGATGCTCAGGTGGATGAGTGGCTTTACCCTTAGAGATAGGATACAAAATGAGCATATACATGAAAAGGTTGGAGTAGCTCCAGTAGAAAAGATTAGAGAGAGTCGCCTTAGATGGCTTGCTCACATAAAAAGGCGACCTTCCGATGACCCGGTTAGGAGAGTAGAGGTATTAGATTTGACTTATATTAAGAAAGGTAGAGGCAGACCTAAAAAGCCCTGGTTAGAAAATATTAGGAATGACCTTTCTTTATTAGATTTAAACGAGAATTTGACCCTTAATAGGACACAATGGACAAAAAGGATTCATGTAGCCGACCCCACGTAGTGGGATAAAGGCTTTTAGTATATATATATATATTATAATAAAAAATATCATATCCACTTAATGTAACTATTATTATACTTATTAGGATGCTTGTAGTAAATCAAAAATGCATGTTGAACTAAATGAGCAATACTAATATGTATATCATGTATTTCATGCCAAAAAGTAATATACATACTCTTAATAATTTTAAATTAAAAATAATACTATTCCTTCAATTAAAATGACATATAAGCAAAACACATGATGAAATTTGAATATAAATCAATCAAAATGCTCATGATAATGATATCTTCTACATATCAAAAGTTACTACGTAGAAAATCATTAAAATGAAATATATTGTATTTTAATCAATTTTAGGTGACAAAAAATTAAGAAAATCAAAATAAATGAAAATAGAAGTAGGATTCAAGTTAGTTGTCACGTTCAAAATGCTTTTTCCTCAACTAGAGTGACAAATGAAAATGACCCAAAATAAACTTTCTCTCTCCTCTCTCTCTCTTCTTCTCTCCCCTTTCTCTCCTTTTCTCTCTTGACCAAGCAAGAAAATGGGGAAAGGGAATGGTTGTTGGTGAGGGTTTTAGATATTTTATTAAAAAATTAAACTTTCACTCTTAATGTCATGGCTCCCAAGGCTCCAGCACCGTTGCACTCAATTATATCACCAAAAACCCAAGAGTTTAATGCCACAATACCCACAAGCCCAACTCTACAGTGCAACACAGACAAATTTTTTAAATTTAATTCATTTAAATTTTTTAGGTTATTATAGTAGTAATGTTTATGAGTTCTTTAGCAACCTTTATACATTTGCGAATTATGTCAAGAACAATCTCTTGGACTTGGTGAAATAGGTGATAGTGTTGAGTGGCAGATGTGCAAAGCTCCTTAGAGGTAATTCTTTGAAGACAATGACACTTCATTACATCATTGATATAATGAAGAAAGATAGCCAAGTCAAAGTAGGAAATATAGTTAGCAGGACACTTCTATTTTTCTTATACAAATCTTCATGAGGGATTTTAAATTTTTCTTTAGGCTTAGCATCAATAATCACCCTTTAGAAATCATTAAATAATAATAATATATTTTTCTTGATTCTCCTTTCTTCCTAATGTAGAGTTAAACTTATCTCCTCATTATTAGGATAATATGCCATATTAGAGATGAGAGTGGAGAGGTAGATGATTTTAAAAGCATTCAAGATGGTTATGTGTTTGGAATGAATAATGAAGGGGGTAAGACCATATTAGATTTTACTATAGCTTATGATTTTCTAATTGGAAATGGCTTATTTAAGAAAAGATACAAGCATCTCATTACTTGTAAGAATAGATATAGTAAAACTTAGATTAATTATTTTCTTATAAGAAAAATAGATTATTTAGATTGCAAAGATTGTAAAGTTATTTTGAGTGGAAGTTTATGTACCCAACATCACTTATTAGTTTTAGACATTAAGATGAATGAGCAAAATATAAAAAATAAAGTAAAATATTATTCTATGATTAGATGGGGGATTTAAACAATACTCACAAAAATACTTTTGGGAGTAAAATTTTAGATCTTATGACTTTTTCTATGCATGAAAAGGATGTGCTTGGAGTTTCAAAGGGAAAAAGCTTTTAATAGTAAAATTAGTTGGTGGTGGAATCAAAATATGCAAGAAAAGATAAAAAATAAGAAGCTTTGTTATAAAATTATTTTAGATGTAAAACTCTAATTATTGAGAAATATATAAAGTTGTATGTAAGGAGTCTAAGAAAGAAATTTATGATGCAAAGATTTTAGCTGTTAATGACTTATATAATAGATTAGAGATTAAGGTGAAAGATATATATAAGTTATCCAAACAAAGAGATCGAAGTAGTGAGGATTTTGTTCAAGTGAAGTGCATTAAGGATGAAGATAAAAAAGTGCTTTTATTATAAGAGGATATTCAGCAAATATATATGAGATATTTTGTTAAAAGTTTTAATGAAGATAGTGAGAATTAAATTGACTTTTGTGACCTTAGCATCCTAAATGAAAATAAATATTTTTTTTTGTTGGCGTATTAGTGAAATTGAAGTTAGAGAGACTTTAAAGAAAATGAAGTGCGAAAAAGGTGTTGGACTTAATGATACTCCAATAGAGGTGTGAAAATGCTTAGGAGATGAAGGAATTTCTTGGCTTACTAAACTTTTTAAAATTATTTTGAAGAATAAAATGATGTTAGAGGAGTGAAGAATGAGCATTTTAATTCATATTTTTAAGAATAAAGGTGATGCACAAGATTGTGCAAATTATAGTATTAAGTTAATGTGTCATACTTTAAAACTATGAGAGAGAGAGTAATGGAGCATAGGTTGCGACAAGATACTAATGTTTCACAAAATTAATTTGGAGTCATGCTGGGTAGGCCAACTATGGAAGCTATATATATTTATTGGATGATTTGATGGAGAAGTGTAGATAGAATAATGAGGATCTACATATAATATTTATTGATTTAAAGAAAGCTTATGATAAAGTTCCAAGAGAAGTGCTATAGAGAGTTCTAGAATAGAAAAAGATTAATAATAATTATATTCAAGTCATTAAAGATATGTATGTACGATTTGTTACTTGTGTTCAAACACAAGGTGGTTTGACTACGTATTTTACTATTTCAGTTGGATTACATAAATGATCATCCTTAAGCCCGTATCATTTTGCCTTAGTAATGGATGTTCTCACTAGACATTTATAAGAGGTTGTACCATGGTGTATGCTTTTTGTTGATGATATTCTTCTTGTTGATAGGACTAAAGTGGGAGTTGAAGGTAAACATTAATTATATAGGTCAACCTTAGAGTCTAAAGGTTTTCATTTGAGTAGGTATAAAACTAAATATACATAGTATAATTTTAGCAGTAATAGATCTAGTGGGGTATTGTGACTTTGGGCGATCAAGTCATTAATAATAGTACACATTGTAGATATTTTGAGTTTATTATTCAAAGTGATGGTGAAATAGATGGGGATACTATTAGTAGAATTCAAGTTGGATGGTTGAAGTGGAGGAATGTAGTAGGATTGTTGTGTGATAGAAAAGTTCCCCTCAAAATCAAGGGAAAATTCTATATACTATATAAAAATGCAAATTATCGACATAAATTTTACGCTAAAAATTGGCAAATTTTTTGATAGATTTTCGGTAGACTTCCAATGGATATCCGAAAAATTTCTTGTGAAATATTTCTGATAGATTTTTTGGTGGGTTTCCCACGGATTTTAAAAAATTTTGGGAAATAATCATATATTTATAGTTGAAAAAAAGAATTAACTAATTAGCTAATTTAAATTAATAATAAACTCAACTAATTAAATTATTTAATGAACCAAATTTACTAAGTTAAATTACCTAATTAACTAATCTAAATAAACAAATGATATTAACAAATTTAAAGAAATTAATTAACTAATTAACTAAATTAAATTAAATAATTTAAATAAACTTATAATATTAATAATATTATTAAATAGTTTAAATTAACTAATTAACAAAATAGCTAATTTAACTTAACAAATTTTTTAATTAAAACAAACTAATAATGTTAATAATAATATTAACTAATTAACTAGTTTAAATTAACTAATTAAATAGTTTAAATTAACAAATTATCTAAGTAAAATTTGTCTTTTTTTGGCGTGAGGACCGCCTCCTGCTCCTTCTATCTTTCGTGGCAATATCAAAGCCAAGTTTAGTACCACATCACTTGTAAAGATATTGAATTTGTAATATAAAACTAAAAATGTATCAGCAGCTTAACTGGTTCCGGCGCAGGAGGTCCAGCAAACAACCTGCTGGTTTAAGCATGTGTAGGTTTGTGGGGTCGGATTAGGCTCGGGTTGGCAGCAGAGGATCTCGTGGACTAGAATGACGGGTTTGGCTACTAGGCTGTGGGCTATCTAGCGGATTTATGGACAGCCGATTGGTTGGGTGCGGTTGGTAGAGTGTACTAGGAGAGGAGCAAAAAAATTTTTTTGTTAATATTTTTATATTTTATGGCAACAATTTACGCCAACAAATTTTTTGGCGGAAATTGCCATAAAAAAATTTTATGGCAATTTTTTCTACTAGTAGTTTTTTTCTTGTGTGATTTACTAGCAAATTTGTTTCCTTCGAAATATTAGAAACCATCATTTTAGTCAGAAATTCACTAATTTCTGCCATAAAAGTCTACCATAAATATAGGCCATTTAAAGAGAAGCATAATATTAAGTTAAGTGTTGTAGAGATGAGGATGCTTAGTTGGATGAGTGGCTTTACTCATAGAGACATGATACAAAATGAGCATATACATGAAAAGGTTGGAGTAGCTCCAATAGAAGATAAACTAGATAGAGTCGCCTTATATGGTTTGGTCACATAAAATGGCTTTCTTCCACTGATCTGTTTAGGATAGTAGTAGATTTATTATATTTGGCTTATGTTAAGAAAGGTAGAGGTAGACCTAAGAAGAATTGGATAGAAAATATTCGAAATAATATCTTTTTTGTTAGATTTAAATGAGAATTTGACTCTTAGCAAGACACAATGGAGGAAAAGGATTCATGTAGCCTATCCCATGTAGTGGGATAAAGGCTTGTTGTTGTTGTTGTTGTAGAAATTAGAGTAGAGGTCAAGGCTTTGGCTCCATAATGTCGCTTTCTTTCATAGTAGAAACAAATGATCCTTCGGGCATTTCCATTATAAGATTGGCAGCAGAGGATCTCATGGAATAGAATGACGGGGTTGGCTACTAGGCTGTGGGATGTCTAGCGGATTTATGGACAGCCGATTGGTTGGGTGTGGTTGGTAGAGTGTACTAGGAGAGGAGCAAAAAATTAATTTTTGTTTAATATTTTTATATTTTATGGCAACAATTTACGCCAGCAAATTTTTTGGCGGAAATTGCCCTAAAAAAATTTTATGGCAATTTTTTCTACTATTAGTTTTTTTTTTCTTGTGTGATTTACTAGCGAATTTGTTTCCTTCAAAATATTAGAAACCATCATTGTAATCAGAAATTCACTAATTTCTGCCAGAAAAGTCTACCATAAATGTAGGCCATTTAAAGAGAAGCATAATATTAAGTTAAGTGTTGTAGAGATGAGGATGCTTAGTTGGATGAGTGACTTTACTCATAGAGACATGGTACAAAATGAGCATATACATGAAAAGGTTGGAGTAGCTCCAATAGAAGATAAACTAAATAGAGTCGCTTTATATGGTTTGGTCACATAAAATGGCTTTCTTCCACTGATCTGTTTAGGATAGTAGTAGATTTATTATATTTGGCTTATGTTAAGAAAGGTAGAGGTAGACCTAAGAAGAATTGGATAGAAAATATTCGAAATAATATCTTTTTTGTTAGATTTAAATGAGAATTTGACTCTTAGCAAAACACAATGGAGGAAAAGGATTCATGTAGCCTACCCCATGTAGTGGGATAAAGGCTTGTTGTTGTTGTTATTGTTGTTGTTGTTGTTGTAGTTGTAGAAATTAGAGTAGAGGTCAAGGCTCTGGCTCCATAATGTCGCTTTCTTTCATAGTAGAAACAAATGATCCTTCAGGCATTTCCATTATAAGATTGGTTCTAAAAAATCTTTCGAGTGTCCCCAGGATCATTTGTGTCATTCTTTTCTCAAATTTTGCAAATTGATGAAAGGTCACAAACTGCTAATTTTTCTTCTTGATAGATTTTTCTTCTCCTCAAAATTTTTCAGCTTCACTATGTATTCCTATTCTAGTTATTAGCATTTTTAATGCTCAATACACCTCTTAGAATATTTAATCCATAATTATTCGTGAATTGCACCCAATAGTATTAAGAATATGTACTAAAAGAAAAAAAAAAAACAAAGAAATAGTGAGAAAGAAGAATTCTCAAGTAAAAAGTTATGAGATTTTTAAAATTTGCTTATTTATACAAAATTGGATAAATTGAGCTCATCCCTGGATCACATATAGAATTAGGTCAGGCTTCAATTTTAGAGATTTAGCTACATAAATGGCGATATAGAAATAACATAAAATATAATAATTTTGCAGTTTGATCAGAAGGTCCAACTTGATGAAGTTGTCTATTGAGCTCTTAAGAAGTCATGGATCTTGAGAAGGTCCAACTTGATGAAGTTATCTATTGAGCTCTTAAGAAGTCATGGATCTTGATTCATATCGATAGTCAAATAACCAAGTAGCCAATTAATAGTTAGTAGTTGCTACATCCAACTGTTAAGTCATACTAGTCAGTTGAGGATGAGTTATTAGATTATAGTCGCCTACTTGAGGTGAGTTGTCTTATAAACTAGCAAGTATCTTTTGACTTCAAAAGAGTTAAATAAGTTATTTTTGTTTAAGCCAACTAAATTTAACTTGAGCCAAGTTGTTTGTGCTGAACCAAATTTCTAGATATATATTTAGATGTGCATTAATTATAAATTTTGTAATTCAAAAACCTAATATGCCAAAGTGAGAGCACATAGTACGAAACTTAACACCTAGAGCCAAAGAGGTCCAAATTTTTCATGCTAGTTAAATAAAGTACAATAACAAAGACTATATACATGTTGCTTTAGCTTATTGTTCTTATTGTTTCATTCTCTCTTATATTTTTAGCCTTTCTCAACTTTCATGATCTTCATCCTTTGAAGCCCCTCCATAACCAAATAGAATCCCTTAATTAAAAAAACTTGACATCAACATTACCAAACATAATATTATTAGCTTAAACATAACATTTTATTAAATATAAGCTCATTTGCTCAAATCAAAGTTCTTTTAATGTTTGATATGTTGGATCTTTATATCCATATATATTCTTTAGAAAATTAAATTGAGACTTTCTCCATTTTAATTTTGTTAATATGTTGGATCTTTATATCCATATATATTTTAAATATAATGTTTGATATGTTGGCACATTCCCTAACATGATCTACATAAAAGGTAATTTATTATTTCCATCTTCTTAGACTATTAACAACCACAATATAAATTTAACTATATATAATATCACATGTTAATCATGCAATTATTTGAAGACTATACTATCATGCTTAGAGATATTTTAGCTAAAAAAATCAATAATTGATGGACCACTTGAACCTTATAGCTTAAAATGGGGCATGGAATTTCTCGGTCAAAGATCATCTTAGTTCAAATTGAGTATATAAGTTAGGAATAAGGAGGCAGATTAGCCATCATAATGACTCTTTGAAGGCATCTGTAACAAGTAAAGGAAGCAGAATCCGGATATTAAGGAAACTATAAACCTAAATCGAGGAGAGAACTTAGCCACTCATTTGATAACAAATAATAATAAAAAAAAACTCATTCGATAACAAAAAGTATAGAAGAAGACTATCAATTTGATACACAGTTTATGTTCAGTTGAATAATTAGTTGGAATTTAGCTGATTTTATAAGCTCGTTTAGTTAATGAGCCGATCTTGAATATGGCCTAAGTCGATCATAGTTGACTCAATAATATTTCAATGGTTAAATTTTGATATATTTGATTCGATGTATGGCAAGGCTTTTCTCTTCATGGAAGGAGAATGTTATTCTCTGTTCGATTTAACGTAAATGACGAATTTTTCAGCTAGACCAAACCTGTGATTTTTCCCCTTTTTTTAAGAAGTATTTCTTAAAAATCTAGTTTTATTCATGTGTTTCACTAACTAAAATCATCTATTATATATATATAAGAGATCATCAATAGATCTTATATTTAATTTAAAATAATTTGAAATACTTGTGCTTTAAAATCACAATTATTTTCACATGTAATCCCATGAATCCATTGAAATAATTTTGACATGTATCATTGTTGATTAATCAATCTCAAATTATTGAAATAGTGAGGCAATTTTGTTTTATGATATTAAATAGTAAATAACTTTGTTTTCTCCTATGTTATTTATAAAGCAGTAAGAAAGTCATCTCAAATAAAATCTGACCTTAATGTTTTTTTATAATAGATATATTAATAAGTCCAAAATATTTGATATTTTTAATAATAATAATTCAATTTACAGTTCTCTAGATAATACAACTGATTTATGTAGCATTGCTAAGAAAAACTTTTATCGCCACCACTATATAGAATCTATATACACTCACTCTATATACTTCACCACCCACTTCATGCACCTTAAACTTCTATTAAATGACAACCCTCCTCTTGCCCACATACTCTTACCCATATCACAGTACATAACAATGATTTTAAAAAAGATAATCCTTAATCATTGCAATGTCCAAAGAATTATGACTTTGCCTATGATGAATGATGCCTTATCACATGTCATATATAAAGTAAAAGCAAGACCCATTAGGCCCTTGAAGAGGCTGCATGGGTAGTATCATAGGCAGCAAAAGATTATTATTGGTTGGTTCTTATTTTTGGCTACTACACTAATCTGGAGTTTTGGGAGAACCTCATAATAGGTAGGACCTTTTCTTTTTTAACCCTTCTCCCTCCATCAAAATATATTTATTTTATGGGACATTTAAGTTATTAAGGCGAACTCGATCACACATATCATATATACAAGATTCGAATTTAAAAATCTCTTGTTAGTAGTCAAAGCTCCCACTAACAAATTAAGATGAGCTACATAATAAATAATTAAATAAATCAAGTTACATCTAAATATTCTTAAAACTACTTATAAGATGAGCACAATATATAAATAATTGAGAAAATTTACATTTGTATAGAGCAGCTTTGACAATATAAATTTTTCATTTAATTATAGGGCACTTTAATGTCACAATCATATCAAAACATATGCATGAAAAAATATAAATTTTTATGTACTTTAAAGATTTATATTTTGTGTAAGTAAATATCAAAATTTAAGTCTTAAATATAAATATATAAGAATTATGTAGCATATATGTAAATATTCTCAATATTTTTCATCAAATATTCTAATAATAAATTCTTTAATTAAGTATTATGCACTTTAATTTTTTTTATTAATTAAGGGTTCCCCTCCCCTCTTTCCTTCCAAGTTGCCTTTTGTTGTTCACAAACAGAGAGACCCAACAACAACAGCTAAGTTTTATGGACAAATGACAGCTAATAATCCAAGCTTGGCCGAGAGAAACGAGAGGAAGAAGACAGAGAATTCTCGCAGTTTCATGTTGTTATTTGAATTCCGGAGGTCGGTCTACTCTTCGACCAGCGTGCTGTGGAGGTGCACGTGAGGTCCATCTTCCTTTTTTTCTTTTCATATTCTGTACGGTTTGCCTTGGGGAAACAAGGCATGCTCCTTCGCCCAATACTCTATGGAAATGTATTTTTTTTATATAAAAAATTATTTATTTATTATGATTATAAATGATGTCGGTTTTAATTAATTTTATTTATATTAATTAAAAGGTCATTTACATACATTTTTTTAATGTATTTATATAATTACAGTTTAATTTTTTCTATTTTTCTACAGTATTTTAATTACATATATATATGAAAAAAAAATATTTTTTTATTTTCTACTTTCTTACAAATATCATTATTTGTTGCACATTCTAAACTTTTTTTTTTTTTTTGCAAGAGAAGATACTTAAACAAATTTTTTTACAATAAAAATTAGAAGGATATTTATTCAAAAAATAAATAGAAAAAAAAAAATGTCTTCAACTTTCTTAATATATGAAAGGATCTACAATCTAATGTTGGAGAAAACAGTTTTTTTATTGTAAGATCAAAACGCATATTTTATGGTTTATCGTTTATTTTGTAAAAAAGAAATAATTTATTTTAATAATTTTTATTCTGTCTTCACTTTATTATCAGCTATTTTTCTATTTATATATTACAGTACCACCATTCACCTAATCCTAATATAAAATTCTCATGAAAAGGTATTCTTTTCTTGCTTTATTGTGTATAAACTGTGCTGAAGTCTCCTTTAGTTTCTGCACCTCACTCCACTAAAGTACAACTGTAACTCAGATTTGAACTAAGATGGTGAAGATGGGAAGCGAGGAAGAAGCTTTCAAGGGAGGAAGAAGATGGAAGAAAGAGGTGGAGAGGAAAGGAAGAGGGCTTGGTGGAGCCATTAGAGAGCAGAGAGCTCGGCTTTATATTATCAGAAGATGCATAATAATGCTTCTCTGCTCACATTACTGATCATTTTATCTCTTTGTAATTTGTATGTTTGTTTGGTAATGGTGGTGGGATTTTGGCAGAGTTATTTCTACCATTTTTACTCTATTGTGTTTTTTTTTTTTTTTGTATATTTATGGAGAGAAGTATGTAGTAGGAATTAATTGATATACATAGTTTGATTTTACATGATTTTTTATATTCCATGTGAGATGGTTGATGAATCCTTTTGGCTTCTCTTTTGGCTTAGGAGAGTGCTTTCTTTTAGAGGACAAGGATTTTTAGTATGTTTTACATATCTCAGTGTGATCATTAACCCAAAGTAACAAAGGGTCACTTGGCTGCCCCAATATTTGTTCTCACAAGTCACGAAAGAGTTTATAAAGATGGCACTCTAAAAAATTCTAATTTTTGATTTTAAGTCTTCTATTTGTACAATATAATTTTCAATTTGATTACTTCAATCGAATCACAGATCGTCTAGGACGATCCAAGTTTATCCAAGAGAGGACTACCGATGATCCCGTATGATCAATAATCATATAGCATGATCCTAAATGAAGTTAGATTTCATTCGACTCATTTATTCTAGGGATTAAATTAGGAAAGTTAATAAAATATTTTAGAGTACGAATTAAGCATTTTTTATAGTATGATTAGTTCAAATTTCAAAATTCAAATTTGCCTAATTTAAGTAATCAAAATTTTACGGCGATGTTTCATAAAATAGTTGATCATCCTATACGATATGATGGTTGTACAATATGATTAGTTATACTCAAATTTTATTTAATCTCATTCAATTAAATATTTCAATTAATTTATGTCTGAATATATCAGACAATATGATCATCATCATATAGTATGAGTTACAAAAAAACATAAAGCATTAATTTTAATCCCTGTTATGTGTGTGTGTGCACGATTGCTAAGTCAACATACACCTAATACATAAATAGATCCAAGAAAAATAAAAAATACATACTGTAATATACAGGCAGACTTTTATACTGAAGATATCCTGTCTTGAGCCAATTCTTCTATTTTTTTCGGTGTATGTTGTACCTGAAATGGTTTATAGCACATAAAAGAAATATTCAATATACAATATAAAAATAAGCAAAATAATAATTCAATAATATTTGTAATCATCAGAATATAAGGTCAGGGAAGGGGTCAAAATCATTTGGAGTGAGGCTCTTAAGTTTTTCAAGTTTTCCTTTAAATTTTCACATTTTAGTTTATTCTTTTGTAGTCAGAAACTTGTCGAGATAGATCATTGGTATATCTGATAAAAAAATATAATCAAAGATTTTGATGTATATGATCTTTAGATTTTCTTCTACTAGACTAATTTATATTGATAAACTTATAGAAGTTATGGTGGATTAAATAAGATGTTGATTCATCATCAAAAAAATTATCTTGACCAGGCACAAATCTTGAAGCAAAATCAAGTCTGAAGCTTCAAGAATTAAAATTGAGACCATCCAAACTATGATTTCTGAAAACTTATTGTCAAACTGAGCGTCTTGGGAACACAAACCCAACGACACCAAAATTGACCCAATTCGAGCCCAAATGAGTCCAAATCAAATGCTCGAAGCACTTTTGGAAGGATCAAACCACAATTTGGGTTACCAAACGGTCTCCAATTGTGACATGCTTATAGTCGAATCGAGCTACACGACGAGATGAATCTAACGAACCAAAGATCATCAAATTTTGATATCATTAAGACAGTCAAAGGTCCATTGAACAGTGCATGATCACTAGAATCAAGATCGACCGTCCATCCGAACCACTCCCAATTTACCCTTGATCTTCAACTTATTTACAAGCCTTTCCGCTCAAGACTTTTATAAATAGAACCTCATTTCCTCTTGAAAGAGAGGGGGGGGGGGGGGGGGGGGGGGGGGGGGGGGCGCGCCAAGAGAGAAGAAGGAAGAGAATGAAGAATGCTCCAGCCACCTAGCTCCTCCTCGACCACCACCGAAGTTCTGCCGCACCACCGCAAGAGTTCTACTCCACCACCACCAGACCATCCAAAAACGTCGAAGTACCACCCAGAGTCGAAGTGACCCTGATGCTGAAGTGTCATTGCAGAACCACCGCCTAACACCGGAGTGTTGCTGTATCACCACCTATGCCCCAAACTTCTACTAGACCACGATCTGACACACGGAGTTATACCGCCCTATTACTATAATATATCTGACCCCCTTCCAACCTCCCTCTCTAGACAATAATCTTTCAGACCCCAGTTTCCTGTCGATTATGGTCTTTCCAACCTCCGTCTCCTACTACGATCCTTCTTCCCTCCCTCCCTAGACAATGGTGTTTCTGACCGCAGTCTCCTATCGAATACGGTCCTTCCAACCTCCCTCGCCAAAAATTGGTCTTTCTGACCCCAGTCTTATGCCGACTACAGTCCTTCCGACCTCCATTGCCTACTACGGTGATCTCCCTCACCAACTATGGTCTTTTTTATCCCGAAATTTTGCCGACTATGGTCCTTCTGACCTACCTTGCCAGGCAATGATCTTTCTGAACTCTATCTCCTGCCAACTATGGTCCTTCAAACTTTTGTCTCATACTACGATCTTTTTAACCTCTGTCCTATCGACTATGGTCCTACCAACTAAACAAATATATCTATATTGATTATTGTAACTCCCACCATGTAATGCACCTTATATGATGTACATTTGTGACATCAATCCAAGGTCTTCTCCCAAGGGTGGGCCTCATTTGTAATCAACTAAAAATACTAGTGGTTTCAGGGGTTTCCACTTAAAAACTCAGGTGTCTCTTATAAATGATGTATCCTCTCTCTCTTTCATTTGCTTGTGTGATGGATTATCGTACAACGCTAAGACGTTAAACTATATACTTCTTTATCATTGAGAATAATCCATGATGCAATAGTTTGGCATCATCTATGGGAACATGGTTCCTGACTGGAGGGCAACTTTTGCTCCAACCTCGAATGGTCATTCATGTTAACGTCCTTGTATTAACTATTGCTGCACCATTTTCATGGAAATTAATTATAAACTGGGCGAAAACCTTGACTATGGTCATGGTTGATAAGATTCCTCTAACTCTTCCAATATCCAAGGCGATATCACAGGACCATAAAGCTTCTAGCAAATTCAACGATGCTTCTAATAAATTTCAAGCTTCATATAGTCCTTGGTTGAACTTTTACTACTTGGGCAAGATCTTAATCTTGACCTAAAAAAGGAAATAATGACATAAAGATAGATCATTCTTTACCTTTGATTTTGGATACACCTGACATTCGTTCCCTCACAATCAAGCAAAAATTGATCCCAGGGAGATTCAATTCAACCTCTTCCATAGAGGTTAACATTATCGAGCAGAGCTTTGACATACAACCCTCGAATAGGTCAGACATCATTGGTGGATTATCTCGATATATTTCACATAAGTTAATGTCATCGAGTAAGGATCTGACATATAACCTCATAAAGGTCATATATCTTTGGTGAATTCTCTCAACCTCTTCCATATAGGTTAACGTCATTGAGTAGGGCTCTGACATACAACCTCGGATAGGTCATACATCTTTGATGGATTCTCTCGACCTCTTCCACACAGGTTAACATCATTAAACAGGGCTCTAACATACAAGCTCGAATAGGTCATAAAACTTGGTGGATTCTCTCGACTTCTTACAAACAAGTTAACGCCATTGAGCAAGGGTTTGACATATAATCTCAAATAAGTCATACATCCTTAGTGAATTCCCCCGATCTCTTCTGTATAATATGTTTTTGAGCATAGCTCTAACATACAACCTTGGATGGTACATCCTAGGCGAATTCTCTCGACCTCTTCCATATAAGTTAATGTCATCGAGTAGGGCTCTAGCATATAACCTTAGATAGGTTATATATTCTTGGTGGATTCTCTTGACCTCTTTTATATAAGTCAATATCATTGAGCATTGCAATGACATACAACCTCATATATATCATACATCATTGGTGGATTCTCTTGATCTCTTCCATATAGGCTAACATCATAAAGAAGCTCTTCAATGTTGACCTTCGTTCTATCGCTGGATGACAGGCCATCATGGGACTTTCATCAGACTTATACCCGACATTGAACTTCCTCCCGTCATTGGACTTCTACCTGTCGTCAAACTTTCATTAAACTTTCATCACTAGACTTCCTCCCGTCATTGGACTTCTACCAGTCATGGGACTTTCATCAAACTTTTAGCTAAGGATAAACTTCCTCCCGTCATTGGACTTCTGCCCATAACAGGACTTTCATCAGACTTTTACCTGATGCTGGACTTCATCATTTGACTTATGTCCGTCACAAGATTTAGTTGGCCTTCTACCCGACACTGAACTTCCTCCTATCGTTGGACATTTACCCATCTTGGGACTTTCGTAGGACTTCTACCTGATGCTGAACTTCTTTCTATCATTGAACTTCTGACTGTCACTACATTTTTGTCAGACTTCTACCCGATGCTCAACTACTTCCCATCACCAGACTTTTATTTGTCACTGGACTTTTGTTGGATTTATACCCAACGCCCTACTTCCACTCACCACCAGACTTATGATCTCCATCCTAATAATGGCCTATCTGCCTATTAGAGTCTTTCCAACCTCCATCGCTAGTAACGGTGGACACAACATCATCCGATTTAGCTCCTTTGCTAGAGCCCCTCTCACCGTCATTCTGGGCAATAAAATATGAATCTCATTTGGTCATCGAATCTCTCGAAGGATGGTGATAGCCTGTCATGGCCTTTATATAAAAAGAGATGAAGAAAGAGAAAAATTCTACTCAATGAGGAGCCCTAGTGCTCAATAAGGAACACCCATTTGAACAGATTTAGGAGAAAGCCTCAGCTTGAGAAAGAAGAAAAAAGAGGGGGAGGTGTAAATATTCATACCCCAAAGAGGAATATTTATAGTTGTGTGAGGGAGAGATGAAGAACCAATTCAAATTAATTAGAATTCATTAATTTTTAG